CCCGGGGAACGGGAAAGCGGCAAGTCCGAGCCTCAACAGGCTCAACACCTTCCAAGGGGTCCTGAGGAGGCAGCTGAGCCGTTCGGACTCAGAAAGCAGCGCGGAGGGTCGGCAGGTGAACAAGCTGAGCCTGAACTCGCCCTCGGAGGGCAACAAGCCGAGCGTCCCCATCAGGTCGGACAGCTTTGAGAGGAACGCCGTGCTCATGGATTACATTTTGCAAAGCAAACAGGAGGCAACAGCATCTCTTTCCTACGTCCCCAGGGAAAGCTGCAAGGCAGCTGAAAGCTTCAGGCAGGGGCTGAGCTTCGCCCCCCGGCCTGACAATGTGCCAGAGCTTTGCCAGAACGGCCAGAGCAGCGAGGAGGATCTGGCCAGGAAGCCCGAGCTGGACACGCAGGTGATGAAGAGCCTGGAGAGAACGGTCCCTGCAGTTCCCAGTTACCCTTCGGTGGCTAAAGACGCTGCAAAGCTTTCGAGACAGAGCAGCATCCAGCTCCTTGAGAGCAGGGACCTGCTGGGAGGTGAAGCAGATGCGGGGCTATTCGACTCGTACAGCCCGAAAAAACCCCCCCCGGCCCCTCCTGTGAGGACCCACAGCAAGGAGAGCCTGGCCCTGAGCATGAGCAGGACCGTGGCCCTGACCCAGGCGCTGCTGGAGCAGGGGGGAGCTGCGGGGGGCCGGGCTGCGGGAGGAGGGGGCTCGGAGGAGCCCGAGCGGAAGGGGAGGAAGAATCAGGAGGATGAGAACGTGCTTAAAGTTGCCGACGCCAAGAAAACTTTTGAGAAGTCCAAGGCGGCGGAAGGGAAGGCGGCAGCTCCCAGCCCGGCCAGGAAAGGTGAGGTGTGAGGGGTTGGGGCAGCACCCACAGACCCCCCAGCCCCTTGGGGGGGGGTCCGGACACAGAGGGGAGGGGGGGGGGGGCACGGCTGCTTGGAAATACCTGCACGCTCAGGGCAGCAGCAGGTGGGACAAGCTCCGGGCACGTGAAAAACCTGTGGCTGGAAGGGAGCAGGACGAGAACCAGGCGTTGGTTGGTTCTTGTCTGCTCCCTGGTCGGTAAAAATACTGCTGGTAGTGCGGCTGCTTCAAGAGAAAAGGGACCTGCTTTGTGAGACTGGTATCAAGTCCATTATCCAGTAATCCCATCCTGCTTCCCATGAACAGATCCAGCCCATGAGATACTTGCTCCCACTGTCAGGTGGGATTGTTTGCCACTGGGTTTGCCACCAAATCAAACATGATTTGATTTAGCTGTGGCATAAAAAGGAGGCACTATTTTCCTTCAGTTCTCCTTCTCCTGCACTGTGGCTGAGCTTGAATGAGGCTTTCAGGAGAAAGGCAGTAACTTGGAAACCCTTTTTACTGAAAAAAAAATATGGGTAAATGGACTTTGACATTTTACTGGTAAAACAGCAGTGATGCAGAAACAGGGAGAGATTGAAAATGTTTGTTTGAGAGTCTGGATCCTGCAAGGACACATTGAACCCATGCTGGTTAACTTGCATCTTCTGTTTATTGACAATCTGTGATTGTGGATTTCCTTATAAGGGAAAATACATGTGTTAAGGCACGGGAAATGTATGTAGCTTTGAACTGAACACTGTGTTTACTTAAAAAATAGGTGCAATTATCCCACGGGGCTCGGTACGTTGTGCTGTCAGTTACTCCTGCTCCCAGAAGTCCCAAAGCCAAGTCAGAATATGAACATTGACACAGAGTTTGTGTGTGTGTCAGGGATCACAAGACGCCTACAGTGATGAAAAATAGATCCTGTCCTCTCAGGAAGCACCTGAAGACACATTATCATTCTCACGATGTAAAGAAGCAGGGCTGTGAAATATCTGTCACTGGGGGTGATCTGGCACCTGACAGACCTGGGCTCTGTGCTAGTGCTGGCTGTGACAGGGAGTCTGGAGCCACACAGCCCTCCCCTCTCTCCCCTCTCCCCTGTCTGATGCAGCCGGTTGTCACCACCCAGCTCAGATGGAGGGATGTTGTCCCCAGCAGTGAGGCACATCTTTGAGGGAACAGGAGGAGCAGGTGGATCAGGTGATGGTACAGAGGGAGGGGGTGAGGAGAAGCTGCAAGAAATCCTGCTCTGTCCCTGCAGCAGTGCTGGCTGCAGCTAAACCACCCCGGCAGTTGTTTATCTCCTGGATCATCACAAGAAATAGGGAGGGAGGTCAGGACAGCCCATGTCCATGTCAGTGCTGTACTGAAGAAGAGCAGGAATAGTTTCTCATTTTGCTGGATCTGTGGCACAGCCTGTTTGGGGTTTATTTAAATCTGCTGCTGAACATGTACCTTCCTACATCTCACCCTGCCTAACTGAGCACAAAAGGTCTCACTTCTATTTACCATTTCATGATTCTTTTCTTATACCTCTGATTTTTCCAGCACTTTTGACCCAACTTGATCCTAGACAGCAGGGAGAGAAACAGAACGAGATGGCAAAAGGATTCAAAACGGGTTGAATAATGAGGACAAGACTAGGATATGTGCTAAGTGTAACCTGGAGTGTGAGAGGACTCCCAGCACCAAGCCTCACCTTGCTGCTCCCTGCTCAAAGCCCCTGCTCCTTTCGTGGTGCCTGCCTGACTTTTTCCCTGCTATTCAGAATTATAGGAAGTGTCAATCCCAGGATCTTCATGTTGTAAATAAAATGCACCTTGCTTTTTATTTTTTTTCCTTTTTCTTTTTTTTCTCTCTGTGTTCTGCTTTCTTGTCTCTCTCTTCCTAGTTAATCACCTGGTGTAGTGGAGGTAGCAACAAAGAAAATCCCATCTGTTGCAACTAATTGCTTCCTTTTTGTTTGCTGTCCCAACATTTTAATTAGGTATTGGGATCCCCTCCCCCTTTATGGCAAAAATGGGAAGAAAAACCTGTTTTGCAATCCTGTACAGTAATGGAGGAGAACAATAAAAGAGGAAATAGGCTAGTTTGAAATTAAATAGATATCTCACTGTAAAAACTCTGGGTAGCATGTGCCTTTCCTACAGCTGAGGTGGTATGTGTGTGGCATCTGCATTACTGCATATAACACGCCTGGGAGTGTGTATATGGGGTAATAAATGTGCTTTGCAGAATGGATTTTAAATCATTAATAACAATAGCATAAATTATTAACACTCATCCTGACCTAATGTTCAGTTCTAATGACTTCCCACTCCCCAGCCCCTTCTACCCGTGCCCAGCAGCACAGCCCCTGGCCCTGCAAGTTCACTGCTCCCTCCCTGGCCCTTATTTTAAAAATCTGATTGAACACATTGCTCTCCTTAACTTCATTCCATAATTCTACAGCTCCCCTTTCTGGCCAAGGATTGAATAAGGCCAAACCAAATGGATTTTGCTCCCTCCCTCTCTCTCCAGGCAAACTCTTTGCTGGGTCTGGGGAGCAGATCAACACAGGGCAGATGTAACCCTGTCCAAGAGACAGAATTGATCAGCCCTAATCAAGGGCTGTTCCGTGGTGGCTGTTGGTACAATTTTGTCTTGGCAGCTGCTCAACCTCTGATGATCACTGAAGTGTCTCTTAAAAACCAGGCTTGTAAGCAGCTTCATAAAGCTGCCCTTGCTATTTGATATGTGCCCAACAGACAGCGAGAAAACAAGGCAGAAAGAGGGAGTCCAAGGTTATTCCCTGCACAGAAAAAGGCTGGGGGTTGTTTTGTTTTTACATCATCACAGTCACTTCAGATTTCCCTGCACAAAAATAATAAATAAATAATAATTCTCTACATTCTGGTCATGTTAAGTGAAATGTAAGATCCCAGCATCAATTCCAACCAATTCTCAAGGCTGCTGAATTTGGCCTCGTGTGTAGAAATCACGGGAGACAGAGAAAAAGAAACAGAAAATAATGCAACTTTCAGGAGGGAGCACTCTCCCTGTGAAGTTAGTTAAGTGTAATAATACTCTAAAAGGTCTCAAGAAATAAATAGTGGGCATCAATATCCTTGCAAAGTTGTACAACTGGGATGTCTGCACACCCGAGGCCTGAAACACAACCTGCCACGTGTGGCATATTTTGCGTGACTTAGATGTTAAGCTGCAAAATAACAGGACTTCAAATTGCTGATCTCTCTAAAACCCCCCCTAAGCCTTTTCCCTTCATTCAGAATATATTTAGCAATGAGGATTTAAGCAAATTGAAATGTTCGAGATAAATTCAGCCCCCGAGTGACTTGATTGGTTCTGAAGGGTGATGGGGTTTGCTGCCCATCCCAGCTCGCTCCCAGACTGCAAACCAAATGGTCTAGTATCAGCTGAAGGCCAAAGAAGCTGACAACGTTTCTCCCAGTAAAAAAGTGCCTCAGGTATTTATGTTTCCTCACCTTTTCTAACTAGTCCCACAGCCCTGGCAGGGCAGGCTGTGGGGCAGCCCCAGGGCGTTGCTTCCAAGACACGTCAAGATCCTGATAGGAACAAACCAGAGTGATTTGTTGCAGTGATGGGCTTGATGCATATTTGCAAGGAAGTTATATTTAGCTGCTGACATCAGTTTGAGAGGAGGTGGAGCCTGTAGACATGGGGCTGTTTCCGTATAAAGGCTGTGAGATGGGCTGCTCACTGCAGCAGGGGGTGGGTGAGACCAGGGAAATGTATTTTGTATTAAGTTCTGAGTCTCTTCTGCAAAACTCAGTTATGGTGTTGATAGAATAGAAGGGGAAACGTTGTTGTGTGGTTCCTTGGTAGCTGCTGGAAATTGGTATTATGGTGTTTTCCTTTACAAAAGTTGGAACTGGTGACACATTTTGACAAGATGTTTTTGGCTTTCATGGCTCGGGCTATAATTTAAGTGCTGTTTGTTGGAATGGTTTTGCTCAGCTGCAGTGATGATAATTACTGCTCACGTGGAACCAAAGGGCACCTGTAAAACTTCAACTGCTCCTTCTGTTGTTGAAGATTTCAGCCTGAAATCCATCTCATTCCTTCCTCACCTTGTACAGTGAGCTGTAGGGATCTAAATGGCTCATTAACACAGGTCAGGATCTGGGTGATCTTTGGAACATTTCCATCCCAGTGTTTAAGGAAGTGCCAGCAAAAATTCCACAGGGATTGTTTCCTTCCAAGTCCATCCTTAGGGACTCTTCCAATGCCAGGTGCTGCAGGACTATCCAACCCTGCAGTGAAAATGTGAACCAGGAACCAACCATTCCCGTAGCAGTTTTTGGGAGGAGCAGGTTTCAACCAGATTTTCCAGGGCATTTTCTCTGTGTCTCCTCTGTGCATCACTGTCCTTCTAGATGGATGCCAGAAATCTTCCTTGGTTTCTCTTCTAAGCTGTTGGGCAGGGCTGGGTTTTGCTGCCTTGCCTGGTTTTCAGTCCAAGGTAAAGCATCTCCTGGTACATCATTAAAATATCTTTTCAAGCTTGCCCACTGCTTTGAGCAAGGAGCTGTACATACATACGTGTGTTTTTAAGTGCCATTTTATATATATTGTATTAATAGTTTTTCATAGCATTTTAAGCCACATGCAGAGCCTCAAGACTCCTAATAAATTGCTGGCTGTGGGACTGGCACTTGAGACACTTGGCTCTGTCACTGACTCATTGTGTGACCTTAGCAAGCCACGTACCTACCCGGAAAATATGAATCACCACCTGAACCTACTAAACTGCAGATTACCTGCAGCTCTGCTCCAGGGCTGCCAAACTGCTTTTGTTTTCTTCTTTTTTTTTTTTTTTTTTTTTTTTTTTTTTTTAGCTTTAAAGAGATTGTTTGAGGGAAGAGGGTGGAGAGTGAGTGTGCTGGGCTGGCTTTTGGGAGGGAAGTATTAAGTCCCCAGCAAACGGTGCCGCGGGGAGCAGGTGGCAGGGGTGCAGCCTGGCAG